GAAACAATATAAACGTGGTTCTACAGAAGGATGCTGAGAAACCCATGGACTGAACATGAGCACTGACGAAGCTTTAAAGAGAATGGAAACAAAAAGAGGCATATTTAGAATCCGAAAGAGACGGTTGAAATTTCTAGGGCACATAATGAGGAAAGAGGGCTCGGAAAATTTGATACAAGATACTCACGAGACAGACTGATGGCAAGAGGGACAGAGAAAAACAACACATAACGTACCTAGCAATCTTGAGTAACTGGACGGCGACAAAACAGGGTTTAGGAGAGATAACAAAAAATATTTATTAAGTGCTACAAAGAACAAGATATTGTGGAGAAACATGATCGCTAACGTACTGAAGGGGAACGACACAGAAGAAGACTTGGAAAAATTTTTACTCACTAAATAGATCGAAGGTATACCGAATAGTACACAGTAAGTGCTGATAGTATAATAAAACAGTGCTCGATATAAAATAATAGAGCTAAAATTTATACTAAGAGTAACTAAGCTCGTTCCTCACCGCTTGGAACAATATATATATATATATATATATATATATATATATATATATATATATATATATATATATATATATATATATATATATATATATATAAAAAGAAGAGAAGAGGGTGCCGCAAACGTTTTTTGTTGTAATGTGGATTTTTTTTTTTTTTTAAATATTATGCTTTATGTTCTATAATTTTACTACACGTGTTTCTGGTAATCCGAATGTCTTTCTTGAATTCAAGAAAGACATTCGGATTACTACCACAAAAACAGAGAATGTCTCATATCAAGAATATTTAACATTGAATAACATAAGGAAAAAAATTAATTATTTTTAATAATATGTGGAAATCTCCGCCTTTTACCTGACGACGGTCACGAGACCAGAAACGCGTGTAGTAAAATTATAGAAAATAAAGCATAATATTTTTTAAAAAAAATCCACATTACAACCAAAAACATTTGTGGCACCTCTCTTCTCGTCTTTTTAATATACACACTTTTCTCACGCGTGTGTGTGTGTGTGTGTGTGAGAGAGAGAGAGAGAGAGAGAGAGAGAGAGAGAGAGAGAGAGAAGAGAGAGAAGGAATACAAGGACATGGACAACTGAATAAAAACAATCTGCCCTTCTAGATTATATAAAGGGTTCGATTCGAAATTCCCCGTAGATTACCCAGATCATTAGACACATGAAGAAAGCTGGATGGCGCAACAGCCGAAAAGTTCTGATAACAACAACGATGCAGACATTATTCCGACTTTAAATTATGTAAATAATTCTAATTAATATTAATAAAACCACTTACAAATCATGTTTTTGTTAATTGAAGATATATTTCCTAGAAATATATTTTTCGGGTTTAACTTCGATTTAGATGATGGACACGTTATGTGTCTGTATTTACAGTGCTTAGAAAGTGTTGGGTAGTTATTGTTGATCGAACTCTCTGTATTAACAATGTTCTGCGAGACTTGTTTTTTAACGGTTACTCCACAACGAGGTACACTATGTTTGCAAGTATTACTTTTTAGATCAACCATAACTAGCACGTTTCCTTCGCCACTTCTTCCTCATCCGGCCCTAACCCTGACCGAAAGACCCACTTTTAACATTTTCTTGGGCGATTTCATCAACCATTTGTAATAACAAATTCCGAGGTCCCCAAACGATAGCTTATTCTACTGGTGGAAAGAATCCACCAGTAGAAGTGGTGACAAGCTAAACAGCGCCTGCTGGTGTGATATATTTTAGATCAGTCATCGCCGCGTGTTCTTTTCTCCGAAGGGGATGACTCCAGTCCCTGTCACATATTCTACATTTCCATCTGCACGGCCACAAGTCTGGCATAACAGAATTTGTTTGGTTAGAGATTAGAGAAGACATGTGTGGCAACTCGTTTGGTAAGAAGAGCCGAGTGCCGAGTGATCTTTCTTAACAATGTTAAGCTTTAGACTCGCCAATGACACCGGTTTTACAAGCACTCTAAATAATTGAAATATCCAAGACTTAAACCATCGAACGAACCATGTTTATTCTACGATTTGTTGATAGTCATATTCTTCACTAATACGTTCTTTTAATCCAAAAGAACTCGTTATAATACATTAATATTGAAAACCTCAATGCCTATTTTTCTATCATTTCACTCCAAGTAAGGCGATAAAGTCACTAGGACGTAAGGGAGTTACTGAGAATTAAATAAATTGTGTAAATCTAATTGAGGAAAAGGGACAATAAAGGAACAGAGTTCAAGGAAACGGAAGATGAAGATTGACGACGTATTTAAATTTTTAAAGATTGTAGTTGACAGGAAAGCAAGAAGACGAAAGAAATTTTAAAAAGCGAGAAGTAAGAGAGAAGAATATGTTAGCATAGAACTTACGATTACAGCGCTAACGATTTCAACAGTAAAATGATGAAACCTTGCCACCAATCTAGTATCACGTTTAAATTCAAAGTCTAGGTAACATAGAGAAGAGTTCATCAGAACAATTACCATGAAAGTATTTATAGATAAGGCATAGGGAAGCTACATTACGACAGTAGGAAAGGGACTGAAGCCGAATATTCTTTCTACGTGTGTTTAAACCCCACTTACTTAATTATATGAAAACTCAAGAAATTTAACGAGATTTTAATGACTATATTAATTAAAAGCAAAACACGTTGGAGAATTTAAATCATCAATCTATATTTAATTTTTTTTTTTTTTTTTTTTGTAAAATCGGACCCCTTCTTAAAGAAAATCTGCTCTGAATCGTAAAATAAAAAAACGCAATAAAACTAAAACATTATTTAATTAGAAAGGCTTTTATTTGATTTTATGAATATGACATATTAAGGACACTATTCTCTTAAGGAAAACAATTTTTTTCAATGAATAATGAATTTTTACAAAAATTGTTTTCCTTTTTTTTTAATTAGAATAATTTATAAAATTTTAAATCTTTCAAAAATTCAGTTTCAATAGTAGTCTTGTAGATAAACTAGTTCACATTTGAACTAGTTTATCTACAAGACTTGTATATCGTTATAATGGGGCCTCACATCAGTGAGGGGGGCCGGCGTGCAACTGAAACCGTTGAGGGGAAGGCCCCGAAACGGTGCACATTCTCTCCTGATGACCCCAATTTAAAATTCGAGAGGAACACATCAAATTCAGTGAAGTCAAAAGCCGCAGTGAAGCTCGGTGGAAGTGTCATTGGCATGAGGAGCATTACACATTCAGCTCGCTTCAGATGAGTTTCAATTACTTTCCAGTAATTTCCTTCTTCTATAAAATTTTAAATCTTTCAAAAATTCAGTTTCAATGGTGTAAAGTTTAGGGAATATTGTTATTAAGTAAATTTATATTTACAACTCATAAATCATAAAGCTTATTACAATTTATGGATACCGTGTATTTTTAAAAGAGTTATTTTTATATGCGTATAAACGTGCCGATTTTTGTAGATACGGCTGTTCATACACGACATTATCAGAAAATAAGAGCGATGCCTATAGTAAATTTAAAGCCAAAGAATCTAAAATTCAATAAAACAGAATAGATTACGAGGAATATTTTCCTAAATATTTAAGATTAGTGAGTACTTAAAAATTATATAAAGATTTTTATATATAAAAGTCGCTTAAGTTATATTCTTCCATTATTTTAACTGTAGAAAAAAATTAGATAAACATTCATCTGTCATCAAGCTGCCAACACAAATAAACGCCGTGAAAAAAGTGCACTTCTGCGACATTTTAAATTTAAAATAAGTAATATTTATTTCAAAGCAGATTAATTAAACTTTAAATCAGATAATATTCCTCAGAAGTGTCAGAAAATGTATATTTTATTTTAGAAGATTTTTGAATAAAAAGAATTACATTCTGACAGATGACGAAAAATGGCACTAAATTTTTTAAAAATCTGAAATTTCAAAGCGAAAGTTCCTTCCAGTTTTGAAATACAGCAAAGTATTTTGCTTATTGGAAATATTAAATTGAATTTATTAGCTTGAAATTAAAAATAAAAGCTTCAAGAAGGATTTTTCATTTTTAAAAATTGATTTTAAACCTTTGGTATCGCGTATCTGTAGTGGTACCTAATAACAAATATTAGTTCGGAAGAAAAGTTCATGGCTTTTTAGTAAATTTCAAACACAAAATTTTGATCTTTGTACCTGGATTTATTCAACCACATATGTGTTATTTTGTTCCACTAATTTTCGCAATATTTGAGGCTGCTTCATGAATCTATCCTGCCAGAATTTGGCATTTTTCTGGGCAGTCTTTACAAGCTTCACGAGAGTTTAAATTCTTTCCATCAAAAGAATTTCGTAGGTTTCTGAATAAGTGGTAATCAGAAAGTATAAGATCAGGTGAGTATGGTTGATGTAGTAAGACAGCTAAGATAAACCAATTTCTGCCCGGTTCGTAAATAGACATGAAGTCGGGTGTTGTCTTCATAGGAAACGACACTCTTCCGCTTAGACTGCTTTCTTTAATCGGTTCAATTAGGAAGAGCACTTTCACGTCTGATTTTACGGAAGGAGTTCGTAATACACAGTGCCCTTCCGATCCCATTAGATACACAGTGCTACCATCATCGGATGCAAGCCGGCTTTTCGTTTTCCCCATGACCTTTTTCGTTCTAGATATTTGTATACAATCCTGTGGACGTTCTTATAAAACAAAAATAGGTCGTTTCGTTGTGTTTGAGCAGACAATCGCGTATGGAAATGTGGTCCACTACATTTTTCCGTTAAAACCTGAGGCACCCAAACATCGTCGGGATTCATGCATGTGGAAGTATGAGGAATATCTCTGCAATGTCCCATGTCATGTGACATTAATCAGCGTTTCGATTTGACCATCAATAATGACTGTAAGCCTGCCTGAATATTCCCGGTTTTTCAGATGAAAAAAAAATGCTTCTGAATCTAGCGAGCCACTCGAGAACGCCAACTTCAGCTATAGTAACACTTACATAAACGTATTGGACTTACGGACGTATCACGTTGAAACACCGGTTCTCGTGCGATCACTGAAGTTAAGCAACGTCGATCCTCGTCAGTACCTAGACGGATTACCGCCCGTGAATACCAGGTGCTGTAAGCTTCGACGTCAGGGTTTTGTAATGGATAACGGCTCGGAATTAGAAATCGGAAAGTCGAGTTTCAATTCCAGTCAGGTTCGTTATATTCACTTACGCGCGAACCCTTGGGAAAGGCATGAAACCACCACTTCTCCACCAAGTTATGGGTTAATTAGTAGAACTCGTATCATTAAAATCATTATTATCTCCCCAAAATTCTTACAATCTAAAAATCTTTTTTAACTTTATATGACCTGCAAAAGGTTGATAAGCCGTAAAAAAAGCAAATCAATAAATCAGCCCATGAACGCATCTATTTTGCTATCTGTACAGCGTTTGTTTCTACTTTTCGGAAATGGAAAAGCGTCAAATGGCGAAAATGCACCCCATGTTTTCCTCCATTTTCACCGTTAACGTAAAAACATTTAAAAAATCCCAAATCACACACGAATCATATAGAAAGACACATCAGATTGTCATCTTTCAGAATTTGATAAAATCCACCGTTTTGGAGTTATCGACAGTGAAAGTTCGGATTCATTCGCGTCGCGGGCAGCCATTATTGGCGTTGTTTGCATATATTCGCTGCAGAATAGCTATCACTGTAGGTATCATTGCGCAAACTGAGCCCATCTACGTAAATAGTTCCCGTGCGCAATAATTGAGACAAAGACAAGAAAGATTAGTTCAGTGCTTAGCATTCCGTAGTATTCTGCGTTTAGCTTTCCGCAGCGAATGTATACAAAGAATGACAGTAATGGCTGCCGGCAACGACGCGAATAATTCCGAAGTTTCATTGTCGATAACTTCAAAACTTTATCAAATTTATCAAGCCAGATTCGATTCAATTACACATAAATGTAAGTATTCTGGACATTTTTAATGCGAACTGAGCGAGGGTGTTACACTGCAAATTAACCTAAAAAAATCAATTTACAAATTTCAGTATTTTACTCTTGTGCTGCAGATAGCTGAAACCGCAGATAAGAATAAACCATTGTAATTTTTTGTTTTCACCATTAGGCTACAGAATTGTTAATGTGCCCACATATATAATGCGACATGATCTAACACAGTCATGGGCAAATGACGATCCATTTGCTCTTTCTAGGCACTATTAATTTCATAAGAAAATAACGTTTCTTAAAATGTTTTGTTTCGTTCTCACTTGTTCACTCACACACTCTCTCATACATAACTACACACATAAACAATGATTAACTACAATGTTTCTTGAATTTTGCAAACCTTTGGTCAAAGTAACGTTTTCATCATTTTAAACTATTGCCGATTTTCACTAAGGAAGATCATACATGTAAACATTTTTTTGCTTTTGAAACGGGGAACATTCATAATATTTTTTCTCTAAAGAAGACATATATGTTTTTATTTTTAAATGAATAAATTAGAAATAAGTTACACACAGCGACATGTGTTAATCAAACTGTCATTAGTGATAATATTATATCAAAACTTCAGTTTTTTAATACTAAAAATATCCAAAAAAAAAAAGAAAATCAACTTTTCTCCCATGTCTAAGGTATATGTTTATTCATACGGCCTTCTATAGTGGAAATAGCTGAGGTACCTACTAGGAAAAATTACTTTGAATTTTTTGTTTTTGTATTGCGGTCCGCCTTGTGATGAACCATAGATCATGTGGTCCACTGCTCAGAAAAGATTGTCCATGCCTGATCTAGCAGTTATTTGAAAATACATGTAAATTGATGACAAAATGTGTAACCGACTATATATTTCGAATTACATAATAATTAATACAGACTAATCAGAATATTTCTATTTATTTATTCATATTAAACATTTTCATAATTATATTATCATAATTATAAGCAATATTCATTATTTATGATTTTGGTTGGTTGATTTTGTTTAGCCGCATACCAACCTCTAAGGGTTATTTAATGCCGAAATCGAAATATTTGGAACACAATCTTATGGTTTCAACTACAGATATTTTGAATGCAATTGTATGCTACAGATAAAATGTATTGTTGGTAATTCTACTATACTATGCATTACTGGCCATTTTGCTTTAAATTTACTATACAGGATGCGATAGATAAATTGTCTAAATTAAGCAAAAATTAAAATAACACTGACATCTCATTTTAACATATATTTACCAAAATTACACAAAAATATCTTGTAATACTAAAGAGTAAATTTATTCAATAAAATCGCCATTGCCTTCATCCATGGCCTCCAGACGACTTCGGAATCTCCTGTAACTCTTCTGAACGGTCTCTTTGTTTAAGTTGGTGAATGCTACCGTAATCCTTGCATTCAGTTCATCTTTGGTGTTACAAGGAGTTTTGTTGGTCTCTCGCCCAACTGCGCCCCACACATAATAATCAAGGGGTTGCAGTCTCGGTAGTTAGGTGGCCAGATGTAAGGGGTGATGCTGCCCTGAATCTAGAGAGTGGCTACTGGAAGACCCTATGTCTGGCAACAGGACTCTGAACTTTGCCACACATAGGATCTTCCAGCAGTTAACCTCTTGACCCAGGACAGCACTAACTCCTCAAGGCACTTGAGTAGGCCTCCGTGTTGAATCTGAGACACTCACCAACAAATTCGGGTGTTCTTTTCATATCAGAATGATCAGAGTGAGTTTTCTGAGCTTCTGTACCTTCGTAATCACCATTAAACTCATCCAACTCTTTCCGAATCTTCTGCACTGTCCTCAGATTAACACCCAAACACTCTGAAATGTTCGTATTGAAGCTTCCGGTGGGAATGCCAAGCAGTACAGCATGTCATTTCCAAATTTCTGCCAGAGTGAATTACGCCATAGTGCTCGTCTTCTCACATACGGTGCCCAACTGATCCTACTATACAGTGAAGTCAACAAAATCAAAAACAAACAATGCACATGCGCGAAATTAAAAATATGAAATGGCAACAATTTACTCATCGCATCCTGTGGATAGGTATTGTTGGTAATTTTTGGGTATAAAATGTATTGATTGCTGCTATGTTTACTATAAAAATGTATTTTTATGCTTTCATACTGTTTTGTTTTTGTTTGGCAGTTCACTATTAGCCTATAGCTGGGACCCTAACAGATGTTACCATCCCGGATCAGGATAGACCTGGGAACAACAGCAATTAAGAGATTGTTTCATGCTTCTCAAAACCTTCATTTTCCCGCCTTGCTGGCGGATGTCGTTTATCGTCATATCCAGGACTATAATGATACTCTAATTGTTATTTTCTAAGTAAACTTAGTACAGTATTGGTAAGGCCGGCAAGGGTGGGGTGGAGCCTTAATGGGCTGTGCTTTGTGACCCTCGATATCTTATCAAAAGTTGCTTTTTTATATCTGTTACAAATTAAATTAAGCACAACTATTAACTGATTTTGACGTCATTCTGGGGTGGGTTTTTTTTTTTTCGTTCAAATCCGTGAATTTGTTTTGCTCATGCTAAGTCGTGAAAAAAAAACATTACTTAAAATCCACTATTTTTTATCCAAAATGTGTTAAAATTATTCAACTTTTTTAGAAAAGCATCAAGTTGATGTTAAAAATTACTACAAAATATTGTTGATTTATTTAAGACGGAATGATCTATTATGACATATCTCTAACTTGTTCTTAGATACATTGTATTTATTTTCAATTTTTCTAGTTGAATTGTACATCTATATTGCATATGAACCATTATTATACTTACATTAAAATTTATATTATATATGAATACTACCTTATGAAAATTGAGATGTAGTAGAGTGGGGGATCCCATATCATATTTTCAGCAGGGGCGATATGAGACACTTACACCGGCCATGAATTCTGGAATAATCGAGGCACCAAGTGAATATTGAATTCCATTCAGTTGTGACGTTCTTCATTTTTATGTGTCGTGTACCTTCAGGACTTGGACAATCATGGCTCTCTACAACTTCCTATCCTTTGTAGCTCTAAACAAGATTTATTCCCTTACTATCTTTCCAAGCCCATGTTCTGACATCCGTTTGCTCAAGTTCGTTAGGGAGGTGACATGACGTTTCTCTCAGCTCCTACTGGCTTCAATATATATTGTGAATATCAAATTCTCCTTCTTCATTATGCGTTCCAGAAATTTCAATCCTCTTTTTCTGATTCTAAGTGCAAATATCCTTTTTTCTTTCCATTTTCTTTAAAAACATACTTGCTGTTCCGTCCATGGTATCCTCAGCATCCTTCTATAGAACCACATATCTATCACTTCAAGTCTCCTCTTCATCTGTCAGCAAAATGTCCAGTATTCTGATATTGCATAGAATTTCAACACTCTTTTCTACTATATTAATCTGCTAACCACGACGATGTGACGATCTAAAAAATGGCCTTTTGCTAAACTAAGCTTGATCTTGTATAACAGGTTAGCATTATTTTTCAATATTTTCAACTTGTTTGTTTCAACTTTACCATACTAACAATTGGTCTGTAAGATAAGCTTGTTAATCATCACGCATTAATATTAGTTTTATTATTGTTATTCTTGTGTAATCTTTTTAAAAAAGCTGAGATACGATTGATCTGGGTTACACGTCAAATCACGAGTTCCGTAACCCATTAGGTCATATGGGGCACTTAGCAACAAAGTGTCTAGGTTAAGATCGTCTGACGAAGTACATCCGTTTCAGGATGGTTCTGAATTCAGAGTTTTCCTTCTCCGAGACTGGTTGCCACTCCAAGTCAAGATAGACCATTCCGCCCTGCTATTTATGGTAAGGGAGAGAAGAGGTGAGTTAATAACTTTTCCAAGGATATTTGTGTGAAAATGAACGTAATCCGACCGGAATTCGAACATGGTTCGACAATTTCTCTTTCTGAGTCGCTAACTAATACACTACCCGCACGTAGTAAAATTTATCAAATAGTTGATATGATTATTTATATAGTCCGTTAGATAAAACTGAACGAGAAATTTAAGGAAATTGGAGGCTATGAGCTTGGGAATGAGGTACACGCGATACATCGTACCTGGGTCAAACAATACAAAAGTGGCCCGGAA